CTTACTACTAAACAACCCAAGACAAGCGCTAAAGGTTTAATCTAGTAGCAGCCTTAAGAACTAGAGAGATCGATGAAGCTGAACAACACAAACACAAGCGGTTGTATTTAATTTAGTTGAGTGTTCTTCTTAAGATTTAATAATTCCTGATGCAGCAAATTCTTAAATCTTAGTTACTCATAAATTAGAGGGATCAAACAATTATGGATTTGATATCTAATTTAGCGATAGATTGCAACAAATAATAAACTAGTAGGCCTCCTAGTAATTAAATGAGACAATCATGAAAATAGGCATAGAAGAACATCCAATACTCAAAGCATATATTGAACAATAAAAACATATTAATCTCACAGTTTTATTGATTCCGAGGCCTCTGTTTCCTTCGACCAAGTTATGAAAATTTAGCCGCTCATGGCCATCATGAAAACTCAAAAGGAGAAGAAGAAGAAGAAGAGAAAGGAGAGGCATGTGTAGTCTCCTCCAATCTAATCTCTCTCCCCCTCTTAAAAATATCCAATTCAAGTCTTTGAATTCTACTCAATCTCCTAAAAATATTCTAAGCTTTATCCTAAAATAACATTTATCCAAATCTGATTAATTAAAAATAAAATAAACTCAAAATATAAATAGGAAAGTGGTGTTTCCAGCTGTAACTTTTGGCAACAGATCTTCAAAACTTCCAATAATAAACTGCATATTTGAAATGCATGATAAGGCAGAATGTTCCAGAACGTTAGCAGTGCAGGTGTGTCAAATTGAAGCCAAATTCCAACCTTGATGCAGCGAGTATCTCTCCAAACTCAAAACATGAAAGTTGTAGATCTCTTTCTTAGGGTTCCACATAATTTTGAATCATCTCAATCCGAGCTCGGATGAGAGAGTTATTCCCATATTACGAAGCAATGTAGAAATTGTCTGAAATCACCTAATTAGTTTCGTTTTACATTTAACGCCTCCATTTGCCTCCTAAATCAAAATAAAATAATAATGAGTACATTTAGGCACCAAATAAGTATAAAAGACTAGACATTAAGGGGGGAAAATGTGACATTTTGCATTCTCATCATCTACCAACAACATTTCCATAACAATTAATAATCTAACATACTCATATATATGTACTTTCTTTGAAATTTCATCAAACACCTTACATGCACATACAAACCCCAAATTGGTTACACTTCCACATATTTCTCAAGCCACCAAAATTGGAGCAAAAACTCCCTAAGGCCAACAACCACCCTAGCCAAATTTCATCCTCCACCATGCCATATCCATTCTTTCATATCTCACCCAAAATTTCATCAACTCAACACATACTAATACATCACTTCTCATGGCCATGAGATTCACATATCAAACAATCTTAATTTCAATCCATAATTCTTGTCATCCAAACACACATACAACATATAAGAAATTTCTCTACACAAGTATTTATCCAATCAAAGCTTAAGTTGGATTTACTTACCTTGAATTTGAGCAATTCCAACACTATAATCTCTCTTTGGTAGAATTCCCTTTCCTCTTAAGCCCTAAGCATATACAACCATAAGAATTCAAAACTTTAAAATTTAATCTCACATTTGGTGCAAGAATCTTACCTTTGGATGCTTAGGATTGAAAATCTTCCAAAATCCTATGAATTTCCTTGGAAATTTAGTGAAGAAATTTGAGAGAATTTGGGTTGAAGGTGGCGTGAATAATGGGTGGAGTGGCTAGGGTTTCAACTCTTTAATTCTTATTACTACATAATAATATATTTAGTTTCCCATTTTACCCTTGCACTTTCTAAAAAATTCCATCTATATCCCTTAGTCCATTACAAGAATGCTAACTTCTCCATGTTATTCTACTTCTTTTCATTCTCCACTCTTTCATCTAATTATGAGTGGAATGACCAATTTACCCCTAATAACATTTTAAAGAATTTCTTTAACACTTGTCCAAGATAACTCTAACAAGATTCAAATAAAGTAACGTACCTTGATGTGGGCATTACAATCTTCTTCCTTGGAATGGAGATACACCATATTTGTCTGCCAAAGAAAATATGCAAATAAGATCTTAAAGAAGTTCAGCATGGAGAGTTGTAATCCAGTGAACACACCACTGGTTCAAAATGAAGAGTTGTGCAAAGAAGATGGAGGTCGCAAGGTTGATGAAGGCAGATACAGAATCCTAATCAAGTGCTTATTGTATTTGACGGCGACCAAACCAGATATAATGTTCTCGACCAGTCTACTCTCAAGATTTATGACCGCACCTAGTGAAGCTTATTTCAAGGCAGTTAAGAGAGTGCTCTGATATGTTAGAGGGAGTGTAGACCTTGGGATTTTGTATAGAAGGTTTAAAGACTTCGACTTGGTCAGATATATAGATAGCGATTGGGTAAGACTAGTCGATGACATGAAAAACACATCCGAGTATGTGTTTTCCTTAAACAAAGGAGCATTCAGTTAGTGACCATAAAGAAAGAGACCGTGGCTCAATCAACTACGAAAGTAGATTACATCGCAACAGTTGCTGTAGTGAATCAGGCAATCTAGCTAAGGAAGATCCTAAAGGATATGAAGCTAGAACGATGTGAGCTTACAACCGTCTACTATGACAACCAGTCTATTGTTGTAACGACCAGGAACCTGGTGTTTCATGGTCAATCAAAGTATATAAAGATCAAGTATCATATGTTCAAGAAGCCGAGGAGAACAAATAAGTGAAGATTGTTCATTGTCGATCTGAAAAACAAGCAGCAGATATTTTAACAAAGGGTTTATCCAAAGCCAAGTTTGAAGAGCTCTGATTCATACTTGCAGTTTCCAACAAAGATATCAAGGAGGAGTGTTAAATCAAGTGATATCTTGTTGGAAACATGAAGATGTGACCTGGAAGCAATGCAAGAAGGAGTCCATGTGACCAAATGAGAATGCAATCAGAATTAGTATGCGACCTGCCTGAAAGAGGTTGTTGATTCAAAGCTTATCTAGAAGGTGTCAAAGTTGGTCAACTACTTGGAGTGGTTCAACTGACTTGTAGGGATGTTTAGTTTGACATATTTTGTATTAAGTAAGAATGTATGGCTCTATGAGAATAACGTGTAAATACCTTTATAGATAAGATTAGCATTTAATGCGTTGTAGGTTAACTATGACACTAATGTATAGGATGATGTCATATGTTTGTATATAAACCTTAAAAAAGTTAATGAAAATAGACAAGACAAAAAAATTGAAAAATGAAAAATCTCTTTCAAAACATTCTTTGAAAACTTGTCTCTAAGAATAACAATTGCGTTCTTTTCCCTTACAGTCTCTAGCTTGTGAACCCAACAACCAACATTCAAACCCCTTACCACGCATCTACTCAAACGAGTAAAAAACAAAACAAGAACATGCTACAATAGGTCCCAAAAACTGAAAGGGTTGTGGGGAACCTGAAGAAAGTGGTTGAAGAAGAAGAAGAAGAAGAAGAAACTTGAGGTTGCCATATGTTTTTTAGGGGGCTGCCATAAGTTTTTAGATGGATAGAGTTGGTGGTTTTGTTGTGGGGGGTGAAGAAGAAAAAGAAAAGAGAAGAAAAAAAGAGAAAGAGGAGTCAGCCGATGAAGAAGAAGAAGCTAAGGTTTATGGATTTTTTTTCAATTTTATATGCAAAATGGTAAATTACATAGACCCCCTAATAGTTGCAAAAAATGCATATACCCCCTATCAAGCTCAATTAAGCTCGCGAGCCACTCAAGCACAACCCAAGCCGAGCTCGAGCTACTTGAGAGCAGCTCAGCTCGCCTACACCCTACTTAATATTAGTTGTTTTCTACTCCTTTACCATACTCATAAACAATCTTAACGGCAATTTTAAAATCTTATTTCCCAATATAATTCCACATGTTTCTCACCCACTTTTACAATTTAACAGTTGAAAATAAATTTTATATCAATGGACCCTTAATTTTTACATGACATTTAAATATATCCCCATTTTAATTTCAATATCTTTTACAAGGTTAGTAAATCAAAGAAGTAAGCAAAGCCAATTTATGGAAAAAAAAAAAAATTATTTCTTCCTTTGTGATTATTCTGTATTAAACTTATCCATTTTATTAAAGAAGTATTGAAAGCACTCCTATTAAGGGGTTTTGTTGGAGTCCCACACCGACTAGGCACGCTCAAGCCTACTAGTTTATAAGAATGGGTAATCCTCCCATTCAATAAGACCTTATTGGATGAGGAGTCAGACCCATCTCAAATTCTATCATGGTATCAGAGCCTAGGTTCAGTTGAGCTAAGTGCTTGACCAGCAGGTGAGGATTTAAAGCCGACAACTACCTCCAATAATAGACATGACCCAACCTATGGGCTTGATCGTGAGGGAGAGTGTTGGAGTCCCACACGGACTAGACACGCTCAAGCCTATTAGTTTATAAGAGGGGGTAATCCTCCCATTCAACAAGGCCTTATTGGGTGAGAAGTTAGGCCTACCTCAAATTCTATCATAGTATCCCACACCGATTAAGCACGCTCAAGCCTACTGATTTATAAGAAAGGGTAATCCTCCCATTCAACAATGCCTTATTAGGTGAGGAGTAAGACCTACCTCAAATTCTATCATGGTATTAGAGCCTAGGTTCAGTTGAGTTGAGTGATTGACCAACAGGTGAGAAGTTAGAGCCGATAACTACCCCCAATAACAGACATGACCCAACATATGGACTTGACTGTGAAGGGGAGTGTTGGAATCCCACACTGACTAAGCACGCTCAAACCTATTGGTTTATAAGAAAAGGTAATCCTCCTATTCAATAAAATCTTATTGGATGAGAAATCAAACCCACCTCAAATTCTATCAGGTTTTCGATAGTTTTTAAGGAATTTATTATAATTACATGAGTGTTTTTAATACATTCTTAACGAAATTGATGAGTTTAGTATTAAGAGATCTCATAAGGGAAATGCAAAATAAACCGGCCAATATATTGATATAGTTAAAATGTAGGCATATATAAGAAAAAAAAATGTATGAAAATGAAAAGGGAGAGAGGATTGGTAAATAGTAAGATAAAATGAGAACGAGTTCACACGCGACTTTACAAGTAGTTAGCACATTTTCCTTCCAAGAGAAGAAACCAATATGAAAAAGGAAAAGACAATTTAGTTGGAAAAATTAATTGATGAGATTAGCTATGAAGAATCTTCTGAATCATCATCATCTTGACTAGCTTTGCTTTTCTAGTACTCCATGTGAGAAAAGCCCTTCTGCCTTTTTTCACTCACTGTTGACAAAGTTGAAAATAATTTTTTTTTTTTTTTTTTAATTCTTCAATTGTATAGTAATAATAATAATAATAATATCTCAATTCACATTCACTACACACTCAAGCCATCAAATCCACACTGCTTGTAGGTGAGAGACTGCTTCCTTGGACTTATCACAATTGCGCAATCCACGGATACCTATTCATGCCAATTTGTTAATTCCAAGATTCTAAATAAACAAACAAAGCAGATATTCAATTCTACTAATATAATATAATAAGATTAGCATTATTATTGGGAACATAACATGGCTTATTCTTTCTTTTGAGGTATATGCAGATTTCAATAATACTAAATAATGCAAAGCATGTCCCCTCCATTTTCTTTATTTATTTTGTCAAAAGCCCATTTTACAACTCAATAAATAAGAGCAATACTTAAGTTATAGCTTATTATATAACTCTCAATCCTACTAAAATTATGCATCTACAACTATCCACATTACTAAATGAAAATGGCAAACAACAAATGAAATTTAAATAAATAAATACATAGAGTCAACAATAACCCTAAAGAAATTCAACAAAAGATGCCAATCAGAAGCAATTGAAAGGATAGAGAAATTGCTTCCACTCTTTTGGACCATAAGGACCCACTAGTCACCCAAAATTGACATGGCTGAGAAACCCAACTAATACTTTTTTCCTCCTCAAATGACCAATTTTTTTTTTTTTTTTTTTTCTCAACCTATGAAAAACCCGGAAAATAAAACCCATATACGAAATCTTAAAAATGCCTTATATGGGTGGTTTGAGTGTGGAAATCAATTTGACATCTTTAAATGAGTCTTTAGATAAGATTGTATAATAATGTGTCTTTGTCCAAACACGTGTGTGTATATATAAACTATTTACATAACAAATAAATTGAGGGATATTTGATAATAGAAAGAATGAAAATAAATAAATTAATCGAGGAATTAATGGAAAATATCTTCCTCAACTTAACATTGAGGCTATTGGTGGTGGTTTGTATAAAAAGAGCGTAAAAATAAAGCAATTACCAGCATCGTTATTAAAGTAAACACCACCTTTAATTTGCCTTCTTTTCACTTGATGCTTTTTAAGACTAAAAAGTAGGACTTAATTAGCATTACCAAAAACAAAATAATCCCAACACAGATGCCACCAAACTTTACATAAAAACCCAAAGAAAACTACACAAAGCTACTTCTTTCTGGTGAGGAAACTTCTGAAAACCACCGCTCATCCCCATTCAGCAATTGCCATAGATTTTATAAATGTGCTATACGGACAAGTGACACTTACACTAATAGGATAATTCCAAATATTTCTCAATAATGAGTAGCAATAAGTCAATATTTTCATGCTTTGAATTTGATTGAAATTTTTTGAAGTAAATGGATGGAGTTTTGTAAATTGCATACTGTAAAAAATACCCCTTCATTCAAAATGTATTAAAACACCTTTATCAAACTAAGGTAATTAATACTTTCCGAACCAAACAGTAAGTTAATATTAAAACTCTACAGGAGAAAATAAAATAAATAAAGTGGGAATAGAAAGTATAAGAGAAATGAAGAGGGGCAAAATGAGGAAAGCAAGTAAGAAAAAAGGCAAAAGTATCCAAAGAAGAAAAAAATGGCCTTCTTCCCTAAGTTTACCAAAAAGCAAAATGAGAATGGGGGCAATACTTAGTGGGTTCCTCTGATACAATTTTCTCTAAATCCAAAACGCAAACAAAGATATAAATAAATAAATAAAGCTAACATAATCTGAATCTAAACCACAAATCCTATCTTTCAAAACTTCAGATTTGAAACAGCAATTTTACCTGAACGCCGGGAGAATCGAAGTTCAAGACGCGGATCTTAGCGCCAACATCACCCAAAACCCTCAACTCAACACGATCATTCAAAGAGGCGTCTCTGATTAAATTAGCAGCATCCGCCTGCAACAAATTGGCCCGATCAACGGCGATGGTGGCCTCAACGTTTCTCACACTATGAGCCTCTTGATAAAACCCCGGTACCGAAGCTTTACCCAAGGGAATCCCACGGTACATTACCGTGAACTTGGACTCGCCGTACTTGATGCCCACTTTGTTTGGGTTAACGGCGGTGAAGAGCATGTGAATTGTGAGGGAAAGCGACGCCGTTTGAGTGGAAATAGTGTTGGCGGCGGCGGCGGTGGTGTCCAAGGAGGTGGGATTGGGTGCGGAGATGCCCACGTACTGAACTCCAACTTGCTGAAGATCAAACTGGGGCTTCTTCGGTTTAACGGCCAGGATTACGATTAAAACAATAGCTAGGATTAGAAGAGCAATGAAGGAGAAGAGGAGGAAGAGGCAGCAGCAACAGCCTTTTAAGGAGGCTGAAGAGGAGGAGGAGGAAGACGACGTCGTAGGGTAGTAAGAATGATGGCCATTTTGTTGAGTTGTTTGTGGTAGCATTTTGGGAATGGGAGGTAAAGTTGAAGCCAGAACCCTCTTTCTCTTTCTAACAGATTTTCCTAACAGAGAAAAAAGAAAGAAAGAAAGAGAGAAAGAGAGAGAGAGTTTGCTTGAAATAGTGGACTTAAAAATTAAATAAATAATAATAATAAATTAAATTATGGGTTCTCTCACTCTTTACCAATGATAAGAAAAAGAATAAATATTATACTAACTATTCTCGTTTATAAACTTGGTCAGTTCACAATAGGTTTTACATGTCTCTCACATAGGTCTCACGTATTAATTACGAGTTGATCAATTGTAAGCTATCACATTAAGGTTGTGAGAGAAAGTTTGTGAGAGAGGGTTGTTGGTGTATTATTACTCTAAGGAGAATGACATTTTAATCTCTCGTTTATCATGTATGTTATGTTTATAACTACAACTTGTAAAATATCCTATTTATTTTCAAGTCTTTATTTAACAGATTTTTTTTTTTTTGTTTTTTGACAGAATGTATTCAGACCAGTTTGTGCTACCTTAATTAGTCCTTCAAAGCCTTGAAATTAACGATCGGATAAATTACATCAATGGTCACCCTTATTAGGGCTTGTGGGGACTCGATCTAAAGAATCCATGTTGGACCCTTTTGCTCTTTTACCATTAAGTCACCTAGTGATAGTTTATTTAACGGTTGCTATTTACTTTATTTTCATTTATAATAGTTTTTTCTATCGGCATTTTAATTATATAATTATATCTTTTTTAATTGTCCTTTATCATACAAGATAGGAAATATGATATCATAAAATATTAATTATATATAATTTTCTTTCTTTTTTTCTTTTTATTTTAAATATCAAAGATATTATTTTTCTTTATTGTAATAAAACACAAGTATACTATTAGGGTTCAAATGAAAGGCGTAAAATTTATGGACTCTATACCAAGGATTCATTGATTAGGTGGTTTTTCCTTCATAAGGATACGAATCATTGTTCAAAATTTTCAAGGAAAGTTTTACTTCTGCAGATGATAAAAATCTATGGTTACGGAGCAGACTAATCCTATGAGGTTAAGGCCACTGATGATCTGCTGAACCTGCACACACAAAGAAACAAGCGCAAAGCTCACGAGAGACACCAATGTGGTATCTGCCATAAACACTCCGACACTTAAGTCAGTGAGATTGAAAGAGGCTATTTAGTGAGGGCTAAAGAGAGGAAAAATTACTAGAGTCTGGTCGTAGACTAGAACTACGACAAAGGTACTAGTTCTTAGGAGCAAGAACTTTTAAGAGCTAGTAGGTGGTATTGAATACGAGATTTTTGATGAGAGGTCAGGCCTCTGTTTATATAGTGAACGTAGGATCTTCGAATCTTAGTAGGACTCTGAGTTCATAATGGTAGAGTCTAGGTAAACAGGAAAGTCCTGATTTACCTGCTATTATAGGAGTAAGAATCCTAATTCGTATAAGATTCAAGATCTTAGAGGAATTAGAATGTAGATGAATTAGGATATGAATGGAACTTTGGACCCTTTGAAGCGATTATGGGCTAATGGGCCTAGGCCCAAGTGGAATAACAGTGAGGCCCAATTTGGATGATCCAACCTGTGAAGAGCTTGATTGATGCAGTGGGTTAGTCTATGGCATGGATCTTAGAGTGGGTCCAACCGGAATTGGTCCATGGCACTGGGCCACGTAGTAGTCGTTTCGTGTTTAGGCGTGATAAGGCTTAAGATGATTTTTTGCCAATACAATTTGTCCCCCACTCTTAGAGTTAAGAGACACTTGACTTAGAGAGTAGTTTCAGTCATTTGTAGATAAGAAGACGGTGACTCAATGTCCTTGGAGGTGTGCTGCCTCGACTCGTCAAAGTGCGTTTGGTTGAGTCGAATGGCGTTCACATAGGAGATGTTTTGGATTGGACAACTCGGTTCGCCCTGCTTAGTGGGGATTGTGGCTTGCGAGTATTTCCCATGAATCACTCGACTCTTTCTAACTGAGTGTAGGTATGAGACCGAATGAAGCTTGCAAGGCCAAATAAAGATGTTGGCATGGGTGTGTTAAACCCTAAGTATGGCTAAATATTCCACGAGAAAAGGGGGGCTGGGGGGGGGGGGTGCGAGGGGTTGAATAGGAATCAATAAAATATTTGCGGGATAAAACTTATAGTGAAAGCTAAAGCAAATGATGAGGTTATTGAGACAATGTTCAATGACTACACTTAACAATTCAAGAATGATAAAGATATTACTATAAGCAATATACTTGAAGAGAGCAATAAATGCATTTAACTTGTAAACAATAAGTATGAATAATGAATGCAAGAACAAGTGCAATAAATGATGTTCAACCAACAACAATGCAATGTAATAAAGAGTTGAGAGAGAGAGAGAGAGAAATGCTCAGTAATTTATAGTGGTTCAGAGTTATATCCACAAGCCTCCTACATCCACTTCTTTAAGGCAACCTCCTTGAAGTTTCACTAGAATTGAATTTCACCTATATAATAGTTTTCACAAGGATTTTCACCTCACACACATAAATTTACAAGATTGCACCTAGTTTTATAGGATTACGCCACCAAGGAAAGATTTAAAGTTGTTTGTGACTAATTGCCTCTACTAAGTAGGCTTATACACATAATAAGAACAAATGATCTCTCAAAGGTTTACAAGATGAGTACAAGTAATAGTATTGATTTGGATCTTGAGCTCTAGGGATAATATTAGGATGTTTTTCTTATCTCTTCTCTACAAAATAACTGGGAGCGTCGAACTTTTATAACCCAAAAAGAATTAGCCGTTCCAGTATTAATGCAATTCTGATAAAGTCTACAGAACCCAAAGGAACAATCATTCCATAATCGCGAACGGTCGTTCCTGACACAACAGTCATATTTTTCACATCTAGGTTAACTAAAATGGTCATTCCACCATGCCATATGATTGTGCAAGACCACTGCTCCGTCATTCAACCACATGGAACGATCACATCCAGATGTTATTCCAAATCTTCTTAAATTTCTAGAGGAGTGAACAACCTCTTAGAACAATATCATGCAAAGCTTCTTCAGATATGAACGATCATTCCACCACAAGGAATAGTCGTTCCAATTTTGATCTTTGAGTTTTGACTTTGACCTTTTAGATTAAGTCAAGAGCATGATTTTTTTCTAAATTTGAGTTATCTTAGCTTTTGAACTTGGATGCACGGTCGTACAAAATGGTCATGCGATTGCAGCTTGGTCGAGCGAGTGCCACTTCAATTTGGTAGAGTGTCTAATGACCAAGAGGAACGATGTCGTGCAATATTGCACGGCAACTTTCTTTTAAGGAACGGTCATGCCTTGATCATGCACGGTTGTACCTAAGCAAAAATTTGCTTATGCACTATTGAGCCACCTATTAGACCTGTTTTGGTTTGGTTATAACTTGAGTCATACCTTAGCATGTTATGGCTAGTGTTCAATCAACCTTTTGGATAGTTTTGGCACATCAAACATATGAGAGGCCAATAGGGTAAAACTTGCAAGGTCGAATGAAGGTATAAGGACAAATCAAACAACGCTAAGTTAGTAGGGTGTCCACTAGTTTGCTCGGCGTATGTAGCCGAGTGGAGAGTATAACTGTAAAGTATCCACATTGGTCCACTTGGCTTGTCTTGTCAAATGGGGAATAAAATCAGTCTAAATTGGTCCATTTGGCTTTTTTGGATTAGTGGAGAATATAACTGTTGAAAATGTCTATGGCGGTTCACCCGACTCGTCTGGCCGAGTGGAGATGTGTGAGGCCAAGTAGAGAGGCATTTGGTTGACTGGTGATGCATTTGGCTGCGTGGAGGTGTATTAAACTAATTGAAGGTGTTTTGGCAAATCACATAATGCAAAGCGATATGGGACCTATGTGTCCACTCAGCTTATTTGGCCGAGAGGAGATACTCCCAGCAAATGGTATCCATATTGGTCCACTCGGCTCGTCTTGCCAAGTGAAAATCACAATCAATAAGCCTGATGATAATCCGAGGATTATACTAGTTTATTTAAGCTTTTAGGCCGGATTTTAGATACTTCTTAGTTTATTTTTGCCTGAATTGCTACTTAATTCCTTACATTTCGTGTTTTAGGTTAAAATGGACATTTTGAGTGAATAAAGATAGATTTGGAGTTTCTGGACTCAGAAGCAAACGGAGGGCAATTCTGTAATTTTAGAATTCTTCATGAAGCTTCACTGCGGTGAAGGTTGTTCTTTGCCGCGGCGAAATGAGCCAGTCACGCACCAGATTCAGCTCCTTTGTCGCTGCGGTGAGATTCCTTCTTCTCCACGACGAAGTCTGCATTTTCCAGTTTTTGTAAAATGTACAGTTTCGTTTTTAGGCTAAGTTTTAGGATTTTGGGCGAGGTATAAAAGAAATACTTAGTCTTTTTGTTGGGGGCATTTGTGGAGAGATATACAACAGTTTTTACATTTTCTTAGATTTATTTTTGAGTGATTCTGGATTAAACAAAGTGTGAAGATTCGAGGTGAAACCAGTGGATTCGTCAATTGGGGAGATTCTTTTCCTTTTCTTTTGTTTCCATGATGTTGAACTTGGAATTTTTTGTTTCTTTTAATTGTTTTATTGATTTAGACATGAACTAACCTAATTTGGGTTAGGGTTTTGATTGTAGTTTGGAATTTCATGGGTTAATTGATTGAATGATTTTATTTTCATATGAACTTGATTGATTGTGTGATTACTCTGAATTTACTGTTTATATGTGATGAACATGATGAGATTGAGAAATGAATCATGTTAGGCTTCTTGGGTAATCACCATTGTAGTATTGGATGCTAGAGATAGGTTCAAGAACCAATGAAATCAATCTAGGATTCTTGTGCTTAATGAGCTTAGATTGATTAACCTTCAATTTGTTGGGTGTGGAAAGTTAATAAGGAAGAGTAGGAAAACATAGCCTGAGAAGGTATGTTTGACACTTTAGAGAGTTCGATTTACAATCAATACATGTGAATATGAATTTAGTTTAATTCTTTAGATAGAACCCATAGAGTTCGAATGAAGTCAAAACCCTACCCGTTTGTTGAATTGATTTTATCCATAT